CTCTAATAGCGTCCTTGCTCCTAGCAGGGATACCAGGAGCCCCTAGTGGCTTCTTCTTCTTAGTAGTATGGCCAGGAGCCTCTAATAGCGTCCTTGCTGCTAGCAGGGATACCAGGAGCCCCTAGTGGCTTCTTCTTCCTTGTAGTAAGGCCAGGAGACTCTAATAGCGTCCTTGCTCCTAGCAGGGATACCAGCAGCCCCTAGTAGCTTCTTCTTCCTAGTACTAAGGCCAGGAGCCTCTAATAGCGTCCTTGCTCCTAGGAGGGATACCAGGTGCCCCTAGTAGCTTCTTCTTCCTAGTAGTAAGGCCAGGAGGCTCTAATAGCGTCCTTGCTCCTAGTAGGGATACCAGGAGCCGCTAGTAGCTTCTTCTTCCTAGCCTCTAATAGCGTATACCAGGCTTCTTCTTCCTAGTAGTAAGGCCAGGAGCTTCTAATAGCGTCCTTGCTCCTAGTAGGGATACCAGGAGCCCCTAGTACGTCCTTGCTCCTAGGAGGGATATCTTCCTAGTAGTAAGGCAATAGCGTCCTTGCTCCTAGTAGGGATATCAGGAGCCCCTAGTAGCTTCTTCTTCCTAGTAGTAAGGCCAGGAGCCTCTAATAGCGTCCTTGCTCCTAGCAGGGATACCAGGAGCCCCTGGTAGCTTCTTCTTCCTAGTAGCAAGGCCAGGAGCCTCTAATAGCCTCCTTGCTCCTAGCAGGAATACCAGGAGCCCCTAGTGGCTTCTTCTTCCCAGTAGTAAGGCCAGGAGCGTCTAGCCCCTAGTAGCGTCCTTGCTCATAGTAGGGTAGCATCCTTGCTCCTAGAAGGATACGATAGCTTCTTCTTCGTAGTAGCAAGGCCAGGAGCCCCTAGTAGCGTCCTTGCTCCTAATGGCGTCCTTGCTACTAGGAGCTTCTTCTTCCTAGTAGTAAAGCCAGGAGCCCCTAGTAGCGTCCTTGGTCCTAGTAGGGATACCCGGACCTCTTAGTAGTTTCTTCTTCCCAGTAGTGAGGCCAGGAGCCCCTAGTTGCGCCCTTGCTCCTGACAGCGTCCTTGCTACTAGTAGCTTCTTCTTCCTAGTAGTAAGGCCAGCTAGTAGCGTCCTTGCTCCTAATAGCGTCCTTGCTACTAGTAGCTTCTTGCTCCTAGTAGTAATGCCAGGAGCCATTAGTAGCGTCCGATCGCTCCGTTCGTTGCGCTTTCCTTGTTCTTAGTAGCGATCTCGCGCCCAGCTTCATGACCTGTCTGGCCGAGCGTTACTTCTGAGGCTTACGATGGTCAAGAAGTTCTTGCTCTCCAACAAGCTTATCTGAACTGCAGCTGCTTGAACTGAAAGAAAAGGCGGTAGGAGACATCAATGTTTTTCTATGTGTTTCTCTTCCGTGTTCGTTCTGATGCTGGTGCCCGCAAAGAATCCACCAAAGTAGCCAGCTGAAGGAATGAGAGTTTGGACTGCGACCACCCAGTCCAATTCGGCTTTATCTGTTCATTCCACAAATAGCAGCAGCTGTAACGGTGGTAAGAGGGCATGTGCACCACCAGCAGCAGCAGCAGCAACAACAACAACAACCACCACTGCAACAACTCCAACAACAGCACCAGCAACCTCACCACGAGCACCCTCGACCAGGAGCACCACCATGAGCACTAATTACGACCACTGCCACGCCCCAACCCCCGACCGCCAGCTACCACCTACCAGTTACCCGCGACTGCCACCTACCTCCGCCTCCACCTACTCCATCACCACCACCGCCACCACCCCACCTATGAAGTTTTACTCCAACCTTGAAACTGCAAAGCGATCCGTGGTTCAACATCATATCGAACGCATCCCCCGCTCAATCCAAATCTGCAGTGCTCTGGTTAGGCACCACTTGAGCCAAGCGGGGTCGTCAGTGACTGTGCTTGTGCTCCGCGTGTTTTGCGTGTCATCCTTTTGCATGGGCTTCGAACGAAACTGGCTTTGGTACACTTCTCGATGATGTGGGTCATCCGCATAGCTTCAAAGACCGTGGTCAAAAAACAGATGTCCTATGATCCGCAACCAACACTTTCCAGATACATCAAGGTGGAACTCTCAAGATCATGGGCTGCTTCGAAACACCAACATGGCTGTTCCTTTACGTGGGCACGATAGGTATGATGGGTATGACCCCCCCCGTCCCACCTGTCATCGAGGCGCTAGCCGCTAACCCGAAAAGAACCTTCGAGGTGTCACACCGTGGTTTATACGGCCACGGAACGTTCCTGAATCCTTACTACGGCCACATTGGATGACAATGCGCGGCAAGGCAAGGGTTTTCCACAGATTGCACTCAAAGCTGTAAAAAAGCACCCGGTGGTCATGTCCAGAGCCTCAAGTGAATAGGCGAGCATTTGATCCTGGTGGGTGATACCGGTGATACCGTGATACCCTCCATGAAACAATTGGGCAGACTCTGGCTGACCTCATGGCGCTTCTTCTCTTGAATCATGCCGCATGTGGACCGGTGCAGCCTTTCTCAAGTGCCGTGAACACGAAGCTTGCTTGGACTTCTTGTCACGCTCTTGTACCTTTTGGTGAGTGGGACTTGTACCATTCGGTGAGTGGGACGCTGGTGGTGGTGCTGGTGGTGGTGGTGGTGGTGGTGTGAAGTTCAAACACCATGTTTGTCCCTTCATGCAACCACAAGCTTTCGTAAGTGTTTCTAAGCGCGCCTGGACTATGAGGCCCGCTTGGGTTAGAGGGCGCAAATCGAGAAGTGTACCATCCAGAGACCCAAACAACGCCTACAACGGCTTGGCTCAAGTGTGTGCGAGAAAAGCTCGCACCTCTGTGTGGCTGGGTGGGTGGTTCGGTCATTCGCGACCGAGGACTCGCGACATCGCTTCGACATTTTGTTGAGGGTTCATGAACTTGTTCATTGTTCACTGTGTTTTCTTTCCGGTTGAGGGTTGAAGTATAACTTCATAGGTGGTGGTGGTTGGTTGGTTGGTTGGTTGGTTGCTTGCTTGCTTGCTTGCTTGCTTGGTTGGTTGGTTGGTTGGTTGGTTGGTTGGTTGGTGGTCACATGGTGAGCCAGAAAAACTGTCACAAAGTGAATATATATATATATATTATAGTAAATAAATGTCACAAGTGAGTCCTGAATATATATATATATAGTTCAGACTTTTCTTGAGTCCAGAGCTCAGCAATGTCTCCAAAGTCGAAGGTGGTGATTAATGACAAAGGGTTCCCTTGGTGAAGGCAGGCTATCAGAACTGTAAAACAGCTTGCAGCTTGGAAGAAACACGGAAAGCGCAAAAACAGCCCACCAGTGCCTTTTTCCTGCATCCACGAGCAAAGCATAACCCCAAGATGGGCTACTGCGTGCAAGTGAAAAAATAGGAGATCTTTGGCGTTCTAGCCTCCAAAGCTAACATAGCCCCAAGATTCCCAACATGGCCTGAACATAGCTCCGCGCTTCGAGCAACATGACCTCAAGAGCCCAAAGTTGGGCCAACGTACCCCCAAAATAAACGTAGCCGCAAGATGGCCCAACATGGCGCCCCAAGTAAGATGACCCAGCATGGCTCAACATACCCCCAAAACGATCTAACATGTAGGTTCAGTGCTGTAATCTGGTAATGTAATCACTAGAGTCACTAGAGTGGAACTTCGCAACTGATTCTGCTCTTGCCAGCCTCTCTCTAAGTGTGTGTCCGGAGACAGGACTGGGGACTCGTGACCGACGGCCACACTCGCTGCCAAGGCCTGGTTTGGTGAT